ACACTATAAACTTTTAAAAACGGTAATGAGTAAGGCTAAAAAAACACATGGAAACCATAACCAATTGTAGAAAAGTGGAAAAAAGTGAAATTCTGCCCCCAATGCCTGGGATGTGGGGTTTTTGTCCAGATATTTTGCTAACAGACTTTTGTTTTGGCATAGTTGATGCCCACATTTTAAAACCAGATCTTGCATCATTGATTAGTCCTCGATGTTTAGCTACACTAAATTTGAGTTCAGTGTCTTTTAAATTAGCTATAGATTTTCTTTGGGGGTGTTGCTCAGGTTTCATAGCTGCTACGACCATTTTTAAAGCCGGTTGTTTCCAGATGATTATCACTCAGTTCTGGATGATAGTTTCATTGAAATACATTCAGTATAAGAGATATTTTACTAACAATACAGACAAAAAACATTATCGGCTGTCACATTTACTACTTAATTTTAGTGTTTAGTTTTTTTAACAGCTGATTTATTACATGTAATGATGATCTAATGAGACATTTTGTATCATTGTTCGTTTCGGTTCGCTCATTTTGCCATCTGCCTAACTGTCCGTATTGTTGTCTTTATCTGTCCATATGTCCTGTGTCTCTAAGCTCATCAATGCCGTGGTGTTACTCATCCTGCTCACTGCGCTCAGCGATCCTGAGCAGTACCACCTGACCAGCGCCGAGTTAGCCAATGACCTGGATGTCATGGACGATGCCAGTAAGTAACCCAGAAACCCAGAGCTCTACAGTGAACATTAAAGGCTGTGCAGCAGCAGATTTTTAAAAACTTGTTCTGTTTTTGTTGGGTTTAGTTATTAGCTTTTCTTTAGGGTGACATATTGCATGTCTTTCCAGGTTTATGTTCATCACCCGTTCAGTAAAACTCGTTTTATTAGAACCACTGTGAGCCACAGACGTCCATCTGTCTCAAACAAAGCTGTCTTAGACCAGGACTGGTTTTACCTGAGCACAGTGCTGATCCTCTGATTGGGAGTGACTATAAAGTCCCAGAAACAGGGTGATCCATTATTACAGATGGTGCCAGCTGGTGCAGTGCTGTCCCTTCATTAGAAACAATCCCATTAAAAGTAAAACTGTGTTTTCCTGAGCAGTTTTAAACACTCAGAGGAAGATGTGGTGAGGGTTGAACCTTTTTCAGCTCTTATTAGTTTGAGATATTCTTCTTATTCTGATTCAGAGTAAGCATTTATTTAAAAAAAATCTCCCAGAAAAAATGGCAACTTTTTAAACTTATAATCTTTGTTACACTTCCTTAAAAGTGTTTAAAGAAGTATGTATTGTAGGATTTTGAGTCCAGGTGAATACATTAAAACTGCTTTTCATGCCAGAGTTGTAGACTAAGATCATCTTGTGTTGAGAAATGACAGAGTTTTTCCTGTTTTGGGTGAACCTAGATAAAAATCTTATATGCTGTATATTTCACAGGGTGTACAGTATGTGTTATGAATGACTGTCAGCTACTATCACACCAAATTTTAGTGCAATATCTGTGAAACTAATTGCCAAATAGCCATTTTTGTGTATTCTTAGACCAATTAGCTGTAGTGGGCATTTATAATTGGGTTGACTCTGACAGTAAATCAGTTGTAGATGATGCTTAGTAGGGCTGCATGATATCAGGAAAACCTGCGATGTTCGATAACAACAGTGCTTCTTATTGAGATGACGAAATGATTTGTGATAAATGAACAAATAAGTGTGCAGTGTTGACGTCTTCTGCTCTGGGTTTAGAGTTCTAAAAGAACAAAACCTTAAGTTGTTTTTTCATGGCATAACTTCAAAAAATGCAGTTTTATTAGAAAAACATGAAACRTRAATAAATAAAAAGCATTAATGTTTTCAGTTTAGCTCCAGTGTCAGTTCTTGTAGTTGCATTTTATTTAGCGTCTCAATGCAGCACAAATTTCATCAGCTAAGTTGCTAAACTTACATTTAAAAACAAATTCCTTGGTCCGAGATGAATTTCTTCATCATGACCCTCTGTCATAAAAAAAAACAACAAAAAAAAAAACAAGCTCGGCCATCTTAGTTTTTCTGTTTAGTTGGCTGATGGCGCAATGAATTCTGGGAAATCTTCGGCCATGTAGGACATGGGATCTTAACCTTTTTGACCTCGGGGCCCAATTTGTTGAACATAAAGTGGCACGAGGCCCAGTCACACATTACCAATGTATGGCTCAAAATGATAATTATTCCAATCTAAATCTTGGTTTAATTTTTATTGTATTTACATCATAACTAAACGAGCATAACTAACATAACTAAATTAAATACACTTACAGTTTAAAACTCCTGTCAAATAATCACAAGACATGATTATGACAAACATTTTTATACTGTAACCTGCCCATAACAATTATTTGAACAAATACAAAGGTCAGTCAACAGACCACTCAGGCTTATCAGCACAAAAGTATATATTTTTAATAGGGCTGTCAAATGATTAATTTTTTAATCTGATTAATCACAAATTAGC